AATTCACCATCTGGGGTCCGAGCCACAGAGAAAAGCATATCACCAAGTTCGTCACTTGCGTCAGGTTCGGGGATAAAGTCACCATCTGGAACCGCAGTGGGTGCTTTTGCATCAGTTGAGTCAACAGGGACAGCTACATCGTCCCTGAATGGCAAAGCGTCCCAAGCAGCAAGGTCTGGGTCGTCCCCCACATCGGAGTCAGCGGGCATGTCTGGCACTAGTGAGTCCACCGCCCTTTTTGAGATGGCAGAGTCCCAAGTATAGAAAGGGCACATGTTAACTACGTGAAACACCCCGATATCTCTACCGTCCTGTAATGAGGTAAGGCGGTAATTCACNGGGGGGGGGTGCGGGCTCAAGCAAGAGATAATGACACAGAATTGACATACATTAGGAGGGGCTGCCACCTTTCGTGGAAGTCATCGGAGTGACCTCTGACGAATATTTAACCTTCTCTAGCTTTAGAAAGGACATGGTGTCCTTGAGCCACTGAGTTGCAGAGGGAGATTTATCAGACTTCCAATGAAGAAGGATGAGGCGTCTCACCAACAGGGAAGAGAAAGCTATTACATCTCACTGCTTTGAGGTATATTGGGAGTGATTATCTGGGAAGCCGAATATGGCGATATGGGGGGAGACATTTGTAGTCTTAGCAAATATGTTAGACAGAGTGTTAAAGCATAGGCGGAGTTTAGGGGGGGCCAGGGGGGGCACTGCCCCCCAAGACCGGAGCCGATCAATTTTGTCAAACATAAATAAAAAAGTATTTTTTTCACATTGTCTCATTTTATTTGCATTATCATATAATTTAAATGAGTAAATTATGGCTAAATTAATTTTATTTAAAAAAAAATATTTTTAATTTTAATTTAATTTTTTTTGGCTGAACTGGACAGGCGATTCTCAACTGATTCGATGGCCCTGAGCGTAGCGTGTTCAGTTGCGACAAAAACAGAATCGGTCCTTTACTAAGCACGTACAGTATGCCAGTTTTAAGGTCCACCCTCAGCTTGTGGCAGCTGAAATGGACATTCTTAAATGTGCTATCCCATCGGCGATCACCCTTGAAAAACTAAACTTTTACCGACTCCTTCAGCTCGCTCTCACACTGCCCGTTAGTTCTGCTGCCTCAGAAAGAAGTTTCTCAGTGATGAGAAGAATCAGAAATCCGATCTGCAATGACTCAGGACCGATTTTCCGATCTTTCCCTACTGCACATAGAAAACGAGCTGACTGCAAATTTATCAGCAGAGAAGATAGTGGACATCTACGCAAATCGGAAAAAATAGGCGGATTCTTCTACATTAGGTAAGATATAAGTTTTTATTCCAGTCTTTGTGTAGCCTACCAGTCATTGTTAGTTTTAAATCTATTTTAATTTAAGAATAAATTATATAGGCTACAAATAATTGAAAGTGGAAAATATGGTATACTGTGTAAAAGAAAAAAAAATAAAACTGAGTTCGTGGTCTACCGGTAGGTGCCCCCCCAGGCAAAAATGTGAAACTCCGCCTATGTGTTAAAGTAGTTCTGCCATAGGTTATGCAGCGAAGGGCAGGAGTAGAACATATGTGTTTGGTTGCAGGGAGAGGCGTGACATCTGTCACAGGTGTCAGTGATGTTAGGATAAATTCGTGTGAGTCGTTCTTTAGAGAAGTGGACTCTAAATAGTACCTTAAACTGTATGAGTGTGAGACGAGCACAGGTAGAACTTGTGTGAATTTTACTAAGCGCAACCAGTCATTTACTAAGTCCCACCAGTCATCATCCAGGTCCAAGCCCAGTTCAGCCTCCCACGCAGATTTGATTCTGATAATTAGAGTGGTGTCAAGTAATATATGTTTATTTTAAACCTTTGAAATAATTGACTTTTGGTGGGGATCTATGTTGAAAAATTCCTCCCAAGGTTGAGCTGGAAGAGAGGAGGGGAAGGTGGAAAACAAAGATCTAACACAGGGTCTAATCTGAAGGTAGCGAAAAAGGGAAAGGATGGGAGATCAAATTCAATAGATAAATCTGTAAAGTTTCGCAAAGGGGAATCTTTATAAAAATCTTTAAAAGATCTCAGACCTGTTACGACTGGCAACGGAGGCGAGCAGGGAAGCAGGCAAATCAGCCAGGACGTCAGGTAACGGGGATTTATTAGACGTGAAAGACTGACCAGCACAAACAAGGTAACAATACAAAAGACAAGCTAGACATAACAGGACTCAGGTGATCACAATCAGGGCTGAACACGAGGTAACGAGGTGGGCGTGGCACACATCGGGATCGAACGGAGCGGATCGTGACATAACCCCCCCTCAAAGGCGCGCACTCCGGGCGTGCCCCAAGGGGAGGCGACGAAGGAGACGAAACAGGACCTGGAAGACAAGAACAAAA